TTCTCGCATTTGGTAGAATTGTTTGTTTGTGATTCTGTAGTCATTTTAATCTGAGAAAGCAGTTGTGCACAACTGAAAATTTAGATATTTATGGACTTTATTATCAACTTTATTTATCTTTATTATCAGCATTCTTGGGAAATATATTGGAGTCGTTTCACATTGCCTTCTTCACAGTTTCGAATTCAGTGTTTTCCTTCTCTATAAATCCAAGTCTACCCTGCTATTTAACCTATAGCTGATGGAGATGGGTCTAAGAAACAGATTCGTACCTTTCCTGAAGACAAATATGGCAAAGTGAACTAGCCCGGAATTTGAGCTCCATGATTCCACTTCTCATGCTGATATCCGTTACAATACCCACGCGTTCTAACGTTTCTACTTTCTAGTTCTTCATTGATTTAGATATGTTGCACTTAACTCAACCGGTCACTTTCTTTCCAGCGTCCCAGTAATGGGATAAAATAGAAAAAATCGAGTATTTGATTAAATTTGAACTTATAATACTATTACAGAATCTTCAATATTATTCATTTAAAACGACCCCATAAATAATGTTATTTTTATTATTATTCATTCTCATGTCGATCAGATCCTGTCTTAATTAATAGTCAGCCCTGGTTCACCCCTGAATGCGTTGCAGCCATAGTTCACTGGAACCACTACTTCAAAATCTATCGCAAGGAGCGGTTTAGTATGGCCCTTACTTCTTTCAGAACCGCCGGCAATCGCTGTGAGAGAGAGTCCTGGAAAACACAAAGTGCAGCTACGCGCGATCTGTCCAGGCCAAGGTGGAAAATAAACAGATTGGATCTCGCGAATTCTGGAAGATCATCAACAAATTTATGAACAGAGGCAAAGCGGCTGTGCCGACTATTATAAATAGCCCCGAGGTCATATCGTCCTCGATAGAGAAGGTGAAGCTCTTCGCCTCAATCTTTGCCTCAAACTCAACGTTAGATGACAAAGGCTACCCCTCCGCAACTTACCACGTCTCATTGAGTACAATCTCAGTATTATACTCATTTCAACAAGAGAAGTCTCTAGACTTACTAAAAGTCACGACCCCAAAAAAGCCACTGGCCCAGACAAAATTCTAGTAGTCGCCTTTAAGCCCAGAATTATCCCCCATTCTAGGAAAGTTATTTAACCGCTACTTGAAGGAGAAATCTTTACCAAGGACGTGGAAGGTGGAAAGCGCATGTCTGGTCTTCAAGAACGCAGGCAACCGATCCTCCCCTCCCAGTATAAATCCATTAGTCTCGGTATCATGAGTAAGGTTTTTGAGGCCTTAATCAACGAGAAAGTTGAACAACGTCTTGTGCTACGAGCAGTATAGGTTTCGATCAACCTAATCCACTGCTGACGTCCTAATTACCATTACACACAGAATTAGTGAAAACCTTGACGACACACATACCGCAACGACCAAAACATTAGATATCTCGAAGACCTTCGACAAGGTGGGACACAAAGGTTTGCTCCCCAGCTCTGGAATCACTGACAGGTAGAACCCTGAAGATAGTTATTAACGGCCAATACTCTGAGGCCCAGGCGGTCAACGCAGGGTCCACATGTCTCACTTCTTGGACCAGCCCTCGTTCTAATTTGCATAAATGATCTTTTGCAGGTTTCCGGACTGCATGAATTTAAGCGAACTACTAGGTTGGCATCTCGGTCCCACCCTTTCACTGTCAAAACGGTTAAATGTTACCGTCTTTTCTACTCAAACAGCTTCTTCTCTCGCACTTCCCGTCTGTGGAACTCCCTTCCCCTTACTTGCTTCCCCGATAACTATAATCTTCAAATATTCAAGTGTAATGTCAATCGACATTTTCTGACACCTTGATCTCGTTCCCCGTCCTCTCCCCAAACACGCCTCTTTTACTCTTGTTCTCTACCCTCTGTAACACATTACGTGTTAGTGGCACCCACGCCTTGCCTGGGGTGAAATGCTAAAAAAAAAAAAGACCACTCCAACCTCTCTCTCACAGGCGGGATTTGGCAAGTCTCTTACTGCTCTATCACTTCTACTATGAAAAGTGACCAGACGAACTGCATCGCCTGGTTCCCCCCAGGTCAGATTTTCACGGCTAGGACCCGCCATGCCACTTACATAGTAGCAAACCACCCACATTCTCTCCGTATTCCATCGGCGAGAAGTAAGTTCCACTCAAACATCTCGTAAACCACTGCCGTATGGAACAGACTCCTTAGAGGATGTTCCCTCGATCACTACAATCTTAACCTGTTCAAGTCTAGAGTCAACCGTTATCTTCCCCTCGTATCCATATAAACTACCCCTTATCGTAACCCTCTACCTCGAGTGGCCCCCGAGCCTTGTACAGGGTGAACCTTTCTCTAAAAGAAAAAGACGATGAAAGTATCATTCTATAGTATTTCTTGTCGATCTCATTAAAAAGGATTTTTACACAGTTCCTGTACCAGGCAATCACCAGTTTTTAAGGAAAAATAACTGTTCAAAATAAACCAATCTTGCGAAAAGATGACGACCCATATAGATATCGACATGCTAGAGATATATAAAAAAAAAATTAAACTTCGAGCACTTCCCTCCTTCTTAGAATTATTTCGAATAGTAAATCTGAATGTCTTTTGTGGCGTAATTTTTTTAATATCTATAAATACTACAGATTCCTACCATCACGGTCCACACTTTCAGGATATAACTCGCCATTTCACACAGACGCTCGACATGAGGTCACATGGTTAAAAGCAAAATCAACTTTATGTATTTCCGGTCGTATGGAGTAGTTCAGGCTTACGCGAGACACGTTAATAAAGAACTGAGCTGCTCATTAAATATTTTATATTTTATTACACACACACACACGCATACATATATATATATATATATATATATATATATATATATATATATATATATATATATATATATATATATTAAAGACTGCAACAAGAGGAAGTGGAGACGTCAGATATTGTGGACATGTCTAGTTTTCCTTAAGTTTTAGTGTGTCTGGCATGACCTACTGGTTTTTATTTATTACACATTTCTCTAACCAGTGATGTCACAGGTAGGATTTATTAGACAAACACATCAAAGTTTTCATTAACACTAAGGCTTACATATATAATGATATGGTAAATTTTAGTTGTGTAGAAAAAGCTAACAATAAGCATGATTATGTGTTGCAACGATTGTGTTTACATGTAAGATTTCGGTTTTAACGCCGAGGTTACGGTTACTTCAACATCCCCCTCAGATTTCTTTATTTTTTAAGTATGTGTCCATTTTGTTTCCATTTTCCCTAAAATTTCCTCATTGATAACATATTCCATCTATGGCATTCGGAGCATCCTTTATCTAGAAACATATCTCTGTTTCCTCAAGTCTCTTCTTCTGTGAGGAAATTGTCTGATATTACATAGCTATAAACGGGAATGGCATGTCGGGAAACGAGAGTTTGTTCCAGATGTCACGACACTATATATAAACAGATGTGGTTCCTCACTATCTCAATCCTAAAGTCCCCACGCCATATATAAATAGGTGTGTTGGGTTTGGGTGATTTGGGATATTTGTGTTTCTTTGTTTTTGATATTTTTCGTCGCTCCCTGCTGCTACCAGCATTGAAGATCGTAAGCATCTAGTGGGTTCGTTGTGTACTGACTAAGATTCGAAGGTCCTTCTTAAGCCGTAATTTATTTATATTTTTCTGTTTGCGGCATCCCTGGAAATTAAACGGTACGTATTCGCTCGTCGGAAATAATTACAAACGCCAGAGTATGATTAAAATAATTTCACTTCTTGGCAAATTATTATCATTATCTCTATTTCTCTCTTTTTCACCGCTGTAGACAGTAGGACCCCTTTTTCTCTCTTCTGTAACCGATTTGGAATGTAAACTCATAGTCTTGATTTCAAGCCATTCTGATGCTCTTCGTGTTATAGTTCTAATGAATATTATCGAATCGTTATTTATTTAATTAACCTCCTATTGATCCATATTTTAACTAGAATTTTTCTTAATTTGTTAGCTTAACAATACCACTGCCGGAAGTCACAGCTTGCAACATTCCTATACCAATACAGCTTCAGACAAGATCGTCACCTTGTTACATAGTAGTTCAACACTCGCTTCTTTATTTCTAAGGAAATAAGATATGGCGATGAGTGATCTAGAAAAATGAATCTTCTGCTAGCTGTAGGGTTCTCAGAATTCTAACAGGAGTGTAGTTGCCATTGAAATATAGTCTTCCTAAAAGGAATAAATAAATAGTCGAATAAAGAATAAATGCATCCACCTCCACCTCCGACAGACAATTCCTCTACAATAAATCTGTGCACCCTTCCTTGTTTTGTGTAATTTTTGATCAGATGCCCGTCAGGTAGAACCGATAAGACTGATACGAAAACAGAAAAGAAGTTATATTTGATCGCCGCATTTTCCTTTCACTTCTTGGATATTCTCTGGTCGGTGAATATGTATGGAAAAAATAAAGAGAAACAACAATTGTCAGGTTGCTACAATCTGGTGTTGATTTTCTGATACAATGTGTGAGTTTATGTCTCGATTGTAATATGTAGACGAGGCAGAAGAAAAATGTAGGTTAGGTATTAATAGCTTGTTATAAGATCTTTTACGTTCTGATGCTTTTAACGAACGGTGTCGCTGCCTTCACCCAAACACCATCCTCAATTCGGTTCCATAAAATCAAGGTAGCAACCCAAAGGTAAAAGAGATGTAGACTTTTCCCACTAGCCAAAAGCTATAGTCCAAGTTAAAAAGGTTTGTGTATATTGAGATTCTAGACAAAAGCAATCAATCATCATCATGTGGCTTCTCCACTGTTTTCTTACGCATCACATTTTCGGTTATTATTCTGAGATGTCCGTAACTAACACTAATCCATTTTCTCATTGTCTGTCAAAATCAGAAAATCAAAACCAGATTGCAGCAGCTTGACATTTGTTGTTTCTCTTTATTTACCTCGTCATCTTTGTATAGTTCGATATGAAAAGCGTTATTCCTAACCCAATCGTGCCTCACTCCACACCGCCTTTATTCCTCACGCACTTCCCATTTTTCACCAAGCCTCAATTTATTAACTCTCGCTCTTCCCATTTTTACCGAGCCTTAACACACACCGCCTCTATTCTTCACCTACCACTCTTCTATTTTTACCGTGCCTTAATACATACTGCCTCTGTTCCTCACCTCACGCTCTTCCCATTTTTACCGTGCCTTAACGCACAAACACCCTACTCCTCCCCCCACGCTCTTCCCATTTTTACTATGCCTCAATTTATCACCTCTCGCTCTTCCCATTTTTACCGTGCCTTAACACATACTGCCTCTATTTCTCACTTCCCGCTCTTCTCATTTTTACCGTGCCTTAACGCACACCGACCCTACTCCTCACCTCACGCTCTTTCCATTTTTACCACGCCTCAATTTATTACCTCTCGCTCTTCTCATTTTTACCGTGCCTTAACACACACACCGCCACTATTCCTCACCTCTCGCCCTTTCCATTTTTACCACGCCTCCAATTTATTACCTCTCGCTCTTCTCATTTTTACCGTGCCTTAACACACACACCGCCTCTATTCCTCACCTCTCGCCCTTTCCATTTTTACCATGCCTCCAATTTATTACCTCTCGCTCTTCTCATTTTTACCGTGTCTTAACACACACACCGCCTCTATTCCTCATCTCTCGCCCTTTCCATTTTTACCACGCCTCCAATTTATTACCTCTCGCTCGTCCCATTTTTACCGTGCCTTAACACACACACCGCCACTATTCCTCACCTCTCGCCATTTCCATTTTTACCATGCCTCCAATTTATTACCTCTCGCTCGTCCCATTTTTTACTGTGCCTTAACACACACACCGCGTCTATTCCTCACCTCTCGCCCTTTCCATTTTTACCACGCCTCCAATTTATTACCTCTCGCTCTTCTCATTTGTTACCGTGCCTTAACACACACACCGCGTCTATTCCTCACCTCTCGCCCTTTCCATTTTTACCACGCCTCAATTTATTACCTCTCGCTCGTCCCATTTTTTTTTTACTGTGCCTTAACACACACCGCCACTATTCCTCACCTCTCGCCCTTTCCATTTTTACCACGCCTCCAATTTATTACCTCTCGCTCGCCCATTTTTTACCGTGCCTTAACACACACACCGCGTCTATTCCTCACCTCTCGCCCTTTCCATTTTTTACGCCTCCAATTTATTACTCGCTCTTCTCATTTTTTACGCCTCCACACACGTCTATTCCTCACCTCTCGCCCTTTCCATTTTTACCACGCCTTTTTTACCTCTCGTCGTCCCATTTTTTACCGTGCCTTACACACCACCGCCTCTATTCCTCACCTCTCGCCCTTTCCATTTTTACCACGCCTCCAATTTATTACCTCTCGCTCGTCCCATTTTTTACCGTGCCTTAACACACACACGCCTCTATTCCTCACCTCTCGCCCTTTCCATTTTTTTACCATGCCTCCAATTTATTACCTCTCGCTCGTCCCATTTTTTTACTGTGCCTTAACACACACACCGCGTCTATTCCTCGCCTCTCGCCCTTTCCATTTTTACCACGCCTCCAATTTATTACCTCTTGCTCGTCCCATTTTTTACTGTGCCTTAACACACACCGCCACTATTCCTCACCTCTCGCCCTTTCCATTTTTACCACGCCTCCAATTTATTAGCTCTCGCTCGTCCCATTTTTTACCGTGCCTTAACACACACACCGCCACTATTCCTCACCTCTCGCCCTTTCCATTTTTACCACGCCTCCAATTTATTACCTCTCGCTCGTCCCATTTTTTACTGTGCCTTAACACACACCGCCACTATTCCTCACCTCTCGCCCTTTCCATTTTTACCACGCCTCCAATTTATTACCTCTCGCTCGTCCCATTTTTTACCGTGCCTTAACACACACACCGCCTCTATTCCTCACCTCTCGCCCTTTCCATTTTTACCACGCCTCCAATTTATTACCTCTCGCTCGTCCCATTTTTTACCGTGCCTTAACACACACACCGCCTCTATTCCTCACCTCTCGCCCTTTCCATTTTTACCACGCCTCAATTTATTACCTCTCGATCTTCTCATTTTTACTGTGCCTTAACACACACACCGCCTCTATTCCTCACCTCTCGCCCTTTCCATTTTTACCACGCCTCAATTTATTACCTCTCGCTCTTCTCATTTTTACCGTGCCTTAACACACACACCGCCTCTATTCCTCACCTCTCGCCCTTTCCATTTTTACCATGCCTCCAATTTATTACCTCTCGCTCTTCTCATTTTTTACCGTGCCTTAACACACACACCGCCACTATTCCTCACCTCTCGCTCTTCTCATTTTACAACGCATCGATTTCTCAGCTTTCGTTCTTCCAATTGTACCGAGCTCAACCCTCAGCACCTCAATTTCTCACTTTTCGCTCCTTCCATTTTCACCATGTCTCAATCTACACCGCCTCAATTTCTCACCTCTCGCCCTCACATTTTTTAAGAATATATTCCTCAACCACAATTCTCCCCTTATTTGTATTTGCACTAATCACATATCTCTACACGCCAATGTTTGTGCGAGTTGAACACCTTGACTTTGGTAACAGTGTTGCGAGAAGACCGTATCTATGTTAGTAATTGCTAAACTAGCCTCACCACATGTGACTATTAGCGGAAACTTGTAAAATCCGACCTAAGTGTTTTCTATGTTGTTATGTTACTATAAAGAATAATTTATAGTGATGTTAATTAATTTTTCATACAAGTCGTCTAATGTTCTCGTCTCGATAGTATAAATTCTTTCTTGGATTTCCATTAATTTATATTTTGAAAAATTATTCAGGACACACCAATGATATTGGGTATAACTGCCATATTTAAAGTTTTAATTTTTTTCTAGTAAAGTCCAGATTTTATTTTTAATATCATTTACGTTCTGGTATCACGTCATGACGTTGTCATTTTTCGAAATTTAGTTTTTTTTTTCCTTTTGGAATATTTTATAAAAAAAAAAAAATGAGGAAATTAAAAAATGTGTAAGTTGAGAAAAAAGAGAAATTCTTTTTATTTTCTGAAAAACAGCTACAATGTGGGAGGAGACATACTTCCGATTTCTGTCCGGAATAAAATACTTCCACTAAAATATTTTACGAAGTAATCACAGTTGGCTGCCTTGTCGCCAATCAGTGAAGACGATTATTTTTTTAATTTGCAGATCGAATAGTTTTTTTTTTTATCTTTTTTTTCTTTCTTTTTTTTTTAGCCATCTTGTTTTTCTTATCTTCTTTCTACCATGGCTTTCTTTCTTTCTTTCTTTCTTTCTTTCTTTCTTTCTTCTTTTATTATTATTGAACGAAAGACCAACACGTCCAAAAAATGAAGCTGGGAGTACAAATATACGAAGCCCTATAGCCATCATGACAACTAATCTGATAAAGAGCATACCAAACACATACATCACAGCCAAATGTGGGCGATATGGTGGCAGATTTTGTTAAAATTGGGGGTCCAGTTAGAAATACTCTCAGGTCGAGTAATCCAATCTGTTCAGACGGTCTCTGATTAAGGATGTCCCCAAGTATCTGGATGTGATTCCCAAGTCGCCTTGGCTATTAAAAATTTGACTTAGGTGCTTTTCTATCTTACCACAATAAAGAATAATTTATTTATTGTAATGTTAAGTTTTCATACCAGTCGTATATGGTAATTTTTCATTCGAGATCAGGCGACATGACATTAAGTCATCATAAAACAACAGCTATCTCCTCCATGTTTTGGCTGATTTTACTAATGTTCTCATCTCGACAGTATCAGTTCTTTCTTGTATTTCCAATTTTACTTATATTTTTATAAAATTCTTCTGAACTGTTTCAAGCCCGCCGTCATATTCATTATTTTTTTCAATTTTCTGGCCAGGTCTAGATCTTATGATTCCCAATTTCATTTACCTTGTGAGATTACCCCATTTTGTCTGCCTTCTGACTTCCCATAAGGCTTGTGGGAAAATGAAATAAAACCAATAAATAAAATAAGAATAAAAAAAATAAATTTATTTTCTATAATGGAAGTTATGAAGAAACCAGAAAGCGTTTCTGGTTACTTGTACGATTTTATGACCTCACTTCCAAAAAGGACATAATCTGTCTTTCTCTTTCCACTTTCCAACGAGATTATTAGGACATGTTTTCAGCAATCCTACTCATGAAGTAAAGATTCGGCCATCTCAACTCAGCACAAGGATAGCTTGAGCTCGACCATGTTTACCTGTTAGATCCTTATTTTCCATAAAGCGTTTTAGAACCAAAAGGAAAACGGACATACTCAAGAGAACTTTTAACTTTATTTCAATACAATCAATATAAAAGGAATAAAGGTCCATAGCAGAGACTTAAGTTTTTTTGTATGCTTCGTCTATCTTCTTCGTTTATATATTGATCATGCAGCTTCACCTAAAAAATACACACAAAACCCACAATTCTGTTAACATCCATAGGCCCACAAGGTGACATACAAAGCAGTATAAAAGCAAAAGATACAAACCTCTCACACTTCTTTTACTTTTCCATAAAGATATGTCTCGGTTCCTCTACGGGTGATTTCTTAGTCCTCAACCACATGTTGCATACATCACAATACTTTCACTATACTGTTTCTCCACTACAACTTATCACATAAATATCCATCTGGCCCAACAAAATACCCCTCTTCGATAAATTGTCAACAACACTAAAAACCTTGGTAACCTAACCAGTTACAACTGATTTACTTGAATTACAACCTTTGCACACCGGCATACTAAGCTAAGATTAGTAAATATCAATAGAGAAAAAACATTACTGTCTATTAAGTTTTGACAACAAAAAGCAAGCTTGGATTCTGCAGCAAGTAATGTTGAATCCTTTGGGAAGGAATGAAGCTCTGATCAAGATAACATTACTAAGATAATTATACTATACTACTTGTATACTAAGATATCTATACTGTTTTGAGATGTTATTTTTGTTTGATCTTACTAGTTTTTATATCATAAATAAAATTAAAATGATTACTTTAAACTGGCAAATACCAATTAACTAAAAATTGATTTTAAATGACCACACATATAGTTGCTACACTTCCACTAAATATAAGAAAAGGCTAAGATGGCAAGAAATGATGAGGGTGAAGTAAATTATCTTAAGGTTAGAGAAGAGACAGTATCAAGACTCACTGTCAGCCCAAAAAATCAAAACTAAGAAAATTATTAAATATAACACTTCATGAGTGCAAATTATTATGTTCTGACTTCAACAAGGGCAATTAAAAAAATTATTTAAAAATGGAGACATGTAGGATTACCCCACTTTATCCTCCAAGGGACTTCTAATGCCCACTAGATGAAGTTGTACAAAGCAGTATTAATGAAAACTCTCTCTTTTATTGTTCTTCAACCATAGGATGCCATAGGGACAAGATGTATCTTGTTTCTCCTTCACAAAACTTCTTAGTCCCCAGCAATCAATGTGTTTTATACAACAAAATGCCATCACTATATTATCTTCTGTTCAAAATAGTGACTAAAATAATATCTACGCTATAAATATATATTTCTTTCCAAAACAAGAAAATATCCCTCTTTTACAAACTAATAACTGATTCTTGTTAAAAACAGGGAAAAAAGAACAAACAAAAAAATCAATTGAATGCTAACATTTATTAAATTTAATGAATATTGTATTCATGCAGTTATTAATATATGCAACTAATTTTGTGTCTTTTGTAAGATAACATTTTGATTATAAAATGTTTAAGTAGTGTGAAGTGCAGTTACTTTTGTACATTCACTGCACTGCAATGAATGGAGGTAAAGGAATTACCCATACCACATATTCCTCCATTGGAGGTATATCAAAATGATGTAGGATTATGCCAAAAATCTAGATCAGATGCCCACATTTTACTTATACCAGAGATTAAGAGTGAAAAATCTAACGTATGATGGTTATTTTTTTAAAAACATTTTTTAATCAGTATCGCCCCATGCAACGCAGTAAAGCTACTAAAACACAAAGGGTTACAGGGTGTGGAAAATTAGGAACAGAAACATTAATAAAAGAGAAAAGAGGAATCAGGAGGACAGTAGATAGCAACTGACATTGCATTTAAATTCTTGCAGATTAAGGTGGCTGGAAAGCATGGAGCCAAAAAGAAGTTCCACAAGCGAAAAGTGCAAAAAAAAGAAACTGTTAGCATAGAACTTATGACTACATCTAGCCAGCTCAACCGTCAATCAATATCTGGAGCCAAGGTACCATAGCGAAGAGTTCATCTGAACAATCACCATGAAACTATTTATAGAAAAGGCACAGAGAGGCAACCTTATAGTGGTAGGTAAGTGACTGAAGCTGAGTGATCTGCCAGATCAGGACCAATAATATTGCTGATTCTCTTTTAGATCTTATCAAGGAACTCTATGTAGATAGCAGGGGCACCAGACCATATGTGGCAACAATATTCTAAGAATGGACGATTTGTAGACTTATAGATATGTAAGTTAGATTCCTGAGAGAAAATTTGTCTTGCTTGGCACAGTGAAACAATTTTCTTGGCAGCTGACCTAGCAATAGATTCAATATAGTCATTCCACTTCATGTCACCTGAGACTATGAGCTCGAAAAGGTATAATGAATCACTTTCATGGAGGCTAGCATCAGCCATGCTGATAGAAGGCAGAGAAGAGTCTCTCAGATGATTGATGGAGAGAAGTTAATTTTGGAGGCATTAAAATTAACAAGCCATCTTTTGCCCCAGTTAACAACAGACTGGAGGTTGTTTTGGACATCAGTTGCCATTTTGACCTTGTCAGACTGATCAGACTTACGACTGAGAGTAAATTGTTGTGTCATCAGCAGAGATGCCAAGTTGAGAGCTGATGT